GAGAAAGAGAGCGAGAAAGAGAGCGAGAAAGAGAGCTGATCTGCTGCCCTCCCCACTGCGGAGGGCTTGAAATTTACAGCGTAAGCAGCCGGCGAGCGCTGTCTGGCAAAGCGGGAGGCAGGGCCGCGCGGCCCGGGCCGGCTGCCCTGCTCGCTCGCTCGCAGCTGCTCCGCAGCCAGCGCCGCTGCCGCCGGGCACGTGTTCTCCCTCCCGCCACCGGCGGCGCGCGGCGGCCGCCTGCCCRGCGCAGCCGGTATTTCCAGACAGGCAGCGCGAGGTAGCGGACACCACGTGCCGCAAGCGCGGCCAAGTGTCCCCCAGGCGCACCAGAATTCTCTTTCTGCGAGGGCAGGGGAAGAAGCTGCAACGGGTTCAAGGGCCGGGCCCTTTCGGCCCTCGGCTGCCCTATTTCCGACCTCCCTAAGCTTGGAGTTGCGGTGGGAGGCAGCGCAACRCGCCCCGGCAGGATCACGACCCTGCAGATCCCCCTGAGTCATTCTAAGGACGGCGCCACCCGCCTCCTACTGCGCTCTGCGCGTGCCGCCAGCCCGCGCGGCTGCCAAGGCCGCGGCCACGGAAACCCCAAGGGCTGAAAGGGACACGGGGCGCGCGCCGCGGGGACCCGGGCGAAGCGGCGGCCCCAGCTCCGCTCCCGCGGGGCGGGCCAGGGCGCCCTGCCCGTCCCCGCCGCGGCGGGCGGGGGCAGCGCCGTTACATAAGCGCGGCCGCGGCGCGCCGCCCCGGCCAGCAGCAGCAATGGCGCCCGCCCGCCCGCTGCAATGGCGCCCGCCCGCTGCTAGGCGGAGCCCGGAGCGGAAAAGCCGCCGCCACCACCACGCGGCCGCCAGGAGACTGACCCCGCTCCGCCCGGGGAGACACAAAGGCGGCCTCGCCGCGGCCATGCGCGGCCCGCGGCGGTGCCGCCAGGCCTGGCCCGGCCAGGCCTCCCTCGCTCCCGCGAGCTCCGCTACCCCGGGCGCGGAGCCACCGGGGCGGGCGCGTCAAGGCAGCGCCCTCCGCTCCCCCGCCCAT